CAAATGTGAAACAAAAAAAATTTATTATTGCAATTCGACAATATTCATATTTTTTTTGATCAAAATATCAATACTTACTTTGATAATAATCAGACAACAGTAATCTTTTCAACTATAAAAAGTAACAAAAATTGACGGAATAAAGTAGAAAATTACTTTTAAATAACTTTTTATTACAAACAAAAATTGAATTTTAATTTTGTAATTGTAAAATTTGTAATTGTAGAATTTGCTGCAAATAATCGGATTATTTGATTGATACAAACGAGATAGTCTTAGTGATAAGTGATTATATTATCTTGCATGTGCTAATTTCATGACAATTTGTCTACATTGATAGTTTTATTTCAATTCGCTCAATTTGATCTGAAAATCAAATACTTAATAGAACTGAAAGACTTGAAATAATTAGTTTTTGAAATACTTTATGATTACTTTTTGTTGTGGGCAATTTTTCAGCTAATTTTAATTGGTTTTTTAATCTTCTTTTTTTTAAAATTATGTGCAAAATATTTTTACAGCAACAACAACTCCCTCTACTCTTGCTATTAGCAGTAATTAGAAGTGATCACTAAAAAAGTATTAAAGAGTTTGTTGTAAAAAAGCAAAAAATAATTATTTTTAATCACACACAGTTTTGACCACATTACTGGTAATATAATGAGGAAAGTAAATTATTTTTGTTGCTTTCATAAGAAAAAAAATTAATAACTTTTCCTGCTTAATGTCTGCAAACATTTTTAATAGATAATCCAAAAATTTGCATAATTGAAATTAAAATGCAAATAGTTTACAGAAACCAATTTGTATTTTGTAAGTAAAACTTTGTAAAAGTACTCGTTTTTCTTATTTTTTTTTACATAGCTGATAAATCATATGAACGGAATAATAAGCAAATAACTTTGCACAAATTGAATAAATATTTAGAACAATTAGTTTAGCTTTAAAAAAAATGGTTGTAAACAAAATTATGTAGTAAATATCATCAAAAAACAGAAAATTAATTATTAGTTATTAAAAATAGTATTATTTAGAAATGTGATAGCAGTGAATGCATAGATAGTATTTATTTAGCTAATAAATTAGCCAAATTTTTTTGAGTATTTCTGGAAATAGACAGATAAAGAAAGAAAAATTAATTTAGTGATGAAAGTTTGAAAGTAATGACTGATTTGGGCTTAGCTCAATGAGCTAAGTAAGGCGCAATTAGTCTATCATAGTGCCTAGTCGAGAATTTATTCCATTGACGTTCAAGAGCGATATAATCCGTCAAGAGCAAAGAATACTATGCCTTACATTTTAATATCCTCACTGCCATTCTTATTATCATTATTATTATCTATTTCAGAAGAAGTAAAATAATTATTGTATGAGTTGTATTATTTGCTACAATTCATTGCCAAACTTCGAGATTATCGATATTATTATTATTATTATTATTGTTCATTTAAAAATATTATTTGAATAGTTATTTCATTTTTACGCAGTTGTTTACTGGTTTTCGTTACTATAATATCATTATTAATCTTAGCAAGTCTATATCAATATTATTATTTTTGCCCTCATTAAATATTTGCTTTTAAATACAATTGTTTACTACTTTTTGTTGCACACTGTAAACATTTTGTTAGAATCATTTCAGATTACAATTGTTTAACACTAAAATATGTCAAAATTTTATAACACAAATAATCGTTAATAATTGATATTTACAGTAATTATTCATATTTTAGAAACTAAAAGTGTAAAAGTATATCTCATTACGAATATTTTTAGACTAGTCAAAAGTGGATAAAAGCCAAAAGTCAAATTTAGACATCTGAAGTTTAGCTTTTATTCGCATATTTGCTTATTTGTAGTATACTTCAATTAGTCAGCTTACTTTCAAATGAGAAAATCAGAGCAGATTTTATCATTTAAAAGTTTGCATAAAATTTTATAATATTTTTAGTACTCCAAATTTTTAACACTTGTTTTTACTGATATTACTACTGTTCTTTAATGAAATTCAAGTTTTAGATTAGAATGAGTATATAATTTGAAGCAATATTTTACATTCAACACTATTTTTAAGGTATAAAATTTACATGTAATCAAATTTGAGCAAAAAAATAAAATAAGCAACGGAAATAATATTTGTTGTGAAAAAACTGACTTAGTATTAACCAATATTATATCTTAGCATTTATAATTTGAAAAATAATTTTTAAGTAGTAGAATAAAGTCAAAAATTTGTTTTGTTGCTATCAAGATAATTTTTAAAAATTTGAGTGATATGAAGTAAAATATGCAAATTTGTGAAAGATTTACTTTAAGTAAATAGTAAAGATTTTCAAGTGAGTATTACTATGTAAGAAAAATTATTAGCAGAAAAACTGAAATTAGTAAAAATAGTAATGTGTGCTTGTGGATTGCTTGTTAAACGTTAAAACGAGTAACAACTGGAAAATAGAAAATTGCCTTGAGAAATAGAAATGACCTGAAAATTAGGCGAGTAACGTATCGTAATTCAAGTTCATTTGTCGTGCAAGTAAATAAAAACAGACGATAGCCCGTGCTCAAACGGGTGACCTTCAGTAACTTTTATACGAAACTGTATACAAATCTGCATATTATCATAATAAGCGGGACTGACTGGTAATACTCAATTTCACTAATTTACTGCTGAGAATATGTCACAGAGTAATTGATAATATATAAAATACACACTAACTGGTTTATATTGACTTGTTATTTATTAGTATAATTATTGTTATTATTATTAATTATCACTATTTATTATTATTTATTATTATTATTGTTATTTATTATCATGATTATTATTAATGGTGCAATCTTCTATTGTTGATCATTTTCAAATTATCATTATTAAATATAAGTATGTAAAATTGGTGTTTGTAATTACTTTCTGCAACTACTGCCAATATTTGATGACAGTGAAAGGTAAGGCTACAATAAATTGGAAATGAATAATCCGATTTAATTCGTGAAACGAGCTGCGCAATAATTTCCCTCTTCAATTTGAATAAAATTCAACTTAGTTCATAATTTAAAAAATTATCCAACTTTGAGCTAACTTTTATGGATGAAACAGAATTGATGTTAGAAAATTTTTTTATGCGTTAACACTTAAATAATACAATAAATTTTGCAAAAAATTTTTTATAATTGTATTGTTAATACTTCCGTAAAAATATCTGTCACGTTTATTATTGCATTATTGTTATCACTGCAATTTATTGATTACTGTATTAATGATTATTTTTTTTATTTTTTGTAAAATATTTTGACGTTTTTCAAAAATTAATGAGTATTGTAGACTGAAGGAATAAATAAGCAAAAGGCATAATATTCACAATAAAATATTAATAAAAATAGGGAAAGATAAAGAAAATGAAATTAATTAATGCTGTAAAATGTTTTATTATTGATGCCTGCCTCATAATGCTATCGTAAGATCATAAAGTAATTAATGGACGGAACAGAGAGCGAATTCACTGTTGTCAAGAATAGCTAATACACTTATTAAAATAATAATGACAAATGCATACATTTGCTTAATTACAAGACTTGATGGCTAATGACAGAGAACTGCGCAACTTTTGTTTAATTTTTGCATAATTTATTCGCAATGTATATTAGCGACAGCAAATTGTTGCTTGGATTGCTTTAAAAACCTCAAATTGACAAATTAACGTAGCATATAGTACTAATTATTCTATTACTAAGATTAAAATTATCGTGATAAGCTAACAAAACTATAACGAATTTCAATAGTTGTTGATTGATTTCTAGCAAGTTATTGTCACAATTTCCGTTTTAACAAAGTATTAAATAATAAGTACTGATTGCATTCAAGGCATTTTTACGCATATTTTTCTGAGTAATTATTGAATCAGCAATTATGAAAACGTCTGACAGCAAACCTGACAAACATCTATCTGTCTTTTTACTTCCGATTTATATAAAATCGTGATTTTGACTTCACAAATAATACATAGCTATACATGCTTAATACATGCACACGTACGTGCATATTAATCAATTCACGTTACACACTCAAATTAGCCACCTGAAATGTTTATCATTTGTGAGAAATTTTGAATAACAAATACATCAATGAGTAGTTGAAGTTTGTTTTGAATGAATTTTATGCGCATATATTAGGAAAAATTTCAAAAATACAATATAATTATTAATTCAAGTTTCCAAAATCACGATTTTAATACGGAAATAAATAAAAATTTTATTGACAAATACAAAATAGTACGAATACATAAAGTACGTGTTTCCGTGTAACGAAAAAAAACAAAAAAAATTGAAATATTGGATATGAAAATAACAATAATAATTGAGTTCAAATTAAAAGTTGATAACTCGTTAAGTAATAAAAAGATTAATAAATGATATTGCACTGATTTTAATTTGCAATAAAAGTATTTGCACTAGCAAACTTCCAATAAAAAAAATCAGTAAATCTTATAAGTGAAGTTCACAGACATATTTAATTTAATTAGAAAAAATAAAAGACAAGTATTCCAAAATTCATCTTCTCATCTTTAATTTGTGCATCTATTTTAGGATTAGATTGTTTGATTCAAGTTAATCAAACTTTTTTATACTATCCATTACATCACAGAATAAACAAAATTAGTTATTTTGATCTATTTTTAGTATATCTGATCAATAACACTAAGATAATTCTAAACGATAATGAATAATTAATTTAAATGAGTGCAGTTAAAATGATTATTTTAGTAATGGAAATTATATTATAGAACTTAATTATATAATATTCACTACTGCAAATAAAATCTTTTTCAGCTGTTTTTTCCTCTAAATTTAGTGCTACTCAAGGCCTGCTCAATTAAAACTTTTAAGATAGATTAATTTTCATTAAAAAGCTATAAATATGTAGTAATGAATTTTGAATTGCACATAGATCGTAAAGTTTCTAATAAAAATATTTTAATAATGTCTAATATTCAATTTTTTCTTCTTCATTTTGAGCACATAAACTGTTCAATTTCTTCTACAGTTCTTGGTAGATTACTCAAACTTTCATTGCCATGAGCCCAGATTACTACATCATCCTCGATCCGTACCTCAATAAAAATTATTAAATTTATTCTAATTAAAGATAAACTGAATTAATATCATTTTAATTCAGCAATTTTATTTACTTTCACAAAAGTACAATAATTTTTTGTAAATTTAGAAATTGTTTAAAAAAACAAATCATGCAGTTCAAAGTGGAAAGCAATGAAAAATGAAGGTAATACAAATATGCATATATAAAGACTTACTCCACCAAAACCTCTAAATTCTTCTAATTTTTGATCCACAATAAATTGTTTCTGGACTGGATCATTTAGGGCAGCGTTCAGAAGCTGAAATTAATAAACAAATAGCAAAAAGAAATATTTCGTGATGAATAAAAAAATATATTAAAATATACTGTAATAAGACGAAATCAGTTATTGTTTTTAAATCACACTTTTTAAAAATGATAAAAAGCTGCAAATTTATAAAATATACATAACATAAATATTAATTAAACAAAAATAACATAAAAGCAATGAAATATTATCAAATTTTATACATATTAAGCACAAATTTTCACAATTAAAATTTAATTAGGAATTGCAAAAGTATCGAAATGTGAGAGAAAATTACTGTATTGATGAAGTAGCAACCAGGTTCAATAGTTATTACCATTCTTTCTTGTAAGGTACGTGTTGTGCGTAAAGATTTTAGACCTGGAAGGGTTGATCGAGGCTCCGCATCCTGAAGTATACATACAATATTGCATATTTAAATAGCAGTAATGCAATTTTTGGTGACTGCAAATTAATGAGATTGAGAATGTGTAATGAGATAAATTTTCGAAAAAAAATTGCCACTAGAATCTTACATATATATTATTATTTCATGCGTAGAAATTAAAAATAACTAAAAATTTATTATTTTATGAAAAACTTTAATTTTTTTGAATAAAAGAGGTCAAGAACGAACTCCAAGAAAACCACCACAGTCATGAACGTCAAGCCCCATGAAATGTCCCAAGCCATGAGGCATGAATACTGCACCTAATCGCGCATCAATCATTTCTTCGATATTTCCCATGAGTATTCCAGCATCTCTTAAATGCTTCAATATGGTGTATTCTGCTAAAATATGCATTGCATTCCATCGTACACCTATAAATGACAAATATTTTAATAAGTATTTTATATACTTTTATCGACACTGAAAAACATCTCAATTTTTTTCTCATTATGTCGTAAAATGCAGTGAACAAAATTTGAGCTGAAGACTTGTTGTGAAGAAATTTAAAAGTTGGAAATGAAATTTTTATGGAACGAAATTAAACAAAAATAAATTAAGTATTACAACATTTCCGAATTTTTCACAGATAACTCTTTCACTTACTGAAAATGTTTGAATGATTTCTTAAAATATGCTAATAAATACAGAATATTTTTTTGATAAAGTTTTCATTTGTATTAAATTTGATTAAAATACTGATTTATCTAAGTGATATACTTTGCATGATTAAAACTTTATATTTAGCTTATTTATCATATCAATCAACAAAAGTAGCATATAATTAAAAGTAAGCCTGGCTTAGCAGCTTTGAATACTTGTCTGTTAGCATCTAATACAGCGTTATAAATAATGCGCTGTTGATTCGTAAATTTACCATTACACGGAAATGTTGACGTTATGTCTGATGCTAAAAATATGATCAAATATAATCAATTTGTGATACAAATTCAATTTCTGAGACTTTTTCCAAATAAATCTAAGAGCTCCGAGAGCACTTATTTGACTTTTCAGGGCTACAAGATCGAATCTTTTTCATTTATACGTTATAAATTTTAAACTTAAAATGGTCATACTTGAATGAAAATTATTAAATGAATACAAAATAAAATATTTTCTTTGCAGTTTCAAAGTAAATTAGTCTGAATTAATTTGCATTTCAGTTCCTGACCAACTCAAAAACATTTTCATCAAAATGATTTCCAAATTTATACATATTTTAATGTTTTTATTTTATTTAATTAGGTCAATTAAGATACATTTTTTCTTCAAACTTTAGTAAGTTTGAAGCAAAAATTTAGTTATTGTATAAAAATATTTGTGCTCGATGCTATATCATATCACTAAAATAAGTTAAGTACTAATTAGCATATGGCTTATTTATGTAAATTTTGTGAAATTCAAACCATAGCAATTATATTCAGCGCCCATATCAAACAAGCAAAGGTCACCATTGTTAATTTGTTTGGCATTTGGCGCATTCGCATGGCCATAATGTAAAATCGCACCATTACATCCACTAATAATTTTTGCTTAGAAATCATATAAAATATTAAAAATAATTTAATTTTAAACAATATTTGCATAAAACGAATGCAATTTTTGCATTAAAAAAATAGTAAAAATTAGAGTGATAAAATTAATATTTTTAAAATATATTTTATTATTTAGCAATTTAAATTAAAAAAGCTAAATTTTTAAATATGTTTGAAAAAAATATATAAGAATACTTACGAAGCAGCGATACACGTATAAGCCAGATGACGACAACCGCCATTATAATAGCAATAATGCCGAAAAACACTATAAATTTCCGTATTAGAAAGAGATACAAATACTCAGTAATAATATTACTAAAATTCAATATACAATACAAACTTTTGAAATAATACTCAAAATAATATTAGCTATTAACCTTTCAAGTTGGTACTCATACATTCCAGGTTTAGTCGCCTTCATTGTTGCTTTGTGAGCTTCTGAAGCAATCTGCAAATAATTCTTCAAATTTAAATACTCAAAATTGGTCATTTTAATTTTTCATTATTTTTCACAGCAGTCTGAAAAAAAGGATAAAAATTGCGAATTCAAAATAAATAAATAATCACTTTAACAAACTGATATTAATTACTATTCAAATATGCTAATAACAAACAAAATAAATGCTTTCAGAAATCCTTCTTTTCTATCATTTTTCTGCCTAAAATGAAAAATACCTTGCAAACGTAACGTAAAACATCTAATTCTTGATCGGTTTTGAAAGTTCGAAGTTCAGCCATAACTGCATAAAGTATGGATGTATCGCACATGAAGCTAATAAATTATCATTATTAATATTACAAAAAAATATTATAAAAAGTAGATATAATTACTTTCGAATAAGATCGGCGCAAAATTATTGAAATAATCAATACTACAATTATTAACACATTAATTAGCATTAGCCATAAGCACCAAAAACAAAATTTTAAATAACAAATTTGATGAAACTTTTAATTTAAAGTTATACATAGTGTTTATAGCTTAAAGTAAGTGTAATTTCGATATTTTTAAACTTAACAGAGGACAAAATAAATATGTACTTGCTTAATCCATTGATAGTTGGAGGAAGCAAAATTTCATTGCTGTCGGAATTTTTTGCTTTCTAAGTAATTATCATAATTAATAATGATAAGCAATGAAATTAAAACTATCTAAAAATTAATTCAAATGTAATTTCAAAGTTTACTATTAAAAAGGAATAAAATATCTTTGTAATATTTTTCCATTGCAGTTATTTAAATCACCAAATATTTGTTATTTTTTTTCAATACAAATTGCATTTAAAATGTATTTGAATAAATTTAAAACTAAGTGAATTTTGCATAAATTATACGAAGAAAACACTAATAATTATTAACATATATGCAGTAAAGAAAAGCATAAAAAGTTTACCAGCAAAAGTATTTGCTTGGGATGCAATCTCGCTAACATATCAATGATAGTATTATCATTATCATAAAAGTGTACTTGATCAACTTCATACTTCTTCTGATACCAATCTTCAGCATTAATGCTGTAAAGCATCAAGTTTTTCATTACTTAAACCTAAGTTAATCAACAAAAATTGAATATTAAGAAAAAACTGCTGCCATAAAAAGATTTGGCACTAAGCATTTGATAAAAGTATGATAATCACAGCTTAAATGCATAAATAGTGCTCTTTTTATTCATGATTTTTACTTCACACATGACTTAATCAAATGTCAGCTTACTGAGATGATATTTCAAAACAGTACAAAGACACGGATTACGTAAGGCGTAGTACACGTTTCTAAATTCGCATAATCCAGAGATGTGTACTACGCATAGCATAATTACCTGACTTTTACAGACTAAATTCTTGAGAGAAATTTTTCTATTAGGAATAAAGTAAAAAAAATGTTATATACTAAAAAAACGTCAATATAAAGAATAAAGAAGTCAATTCTGAAATCAAAAAAATTATACATACTCTTCATTTATTGGGGTTATTATTAAGTATATAAAGTACTTACGTGCCATGCCAGATTGCAAAATCGGGATGTAGTCTTGGAGCAAGTAGATAACACGTGCCAGAATCAACTTCTATTACTCCATAAAAATCACTTTCATGCACACCAAATGTCCAGAAAAAGTAAGACTCCTAAAGTAAATTGATAAAATTATCTTATTTAAATATATTCTGAATATATTTTCAAAAAAAAAAAAAAATAGCACGTGAAAATATGTGTATTTAGTAATATTCAAACACAAACAAAAATACTACCATAACACTGAACTACTTATTGAATACTATTTCAGTACTAAATGATATGAAGTAATGTAATACATAAAGTTAAAAATCAAATGACAGTATTTGAATTCATTTTTTTTTAAACAAATATACCTGTCTAAAAGGCAAGTCCATAGAATCTGTATTATAACGATATTGTTCAACGCCACCTTTTAAAAGTACCACACTTCCAGGTTTGACTTTACTTCTCAATGCGTTTACTAAGCGTAATCGATTTTCCACGAATAATTTAGCTGTTACAGTAAAAGTTTTGCCTCCCATTGAAAAAGCCATCTTTGCTTTAAAACTAAGCAGTTAAGTAAATCAGTACAAATACTATTACAAGAAACGATATCTACAGTACAACGATATCTACAGTACAAGAAACGATATCTACAGTACAAGTAAGATATTTGTGTGTAATGAACCAAATGATATTCAAATAAGCGAAAAAAAAAGACAATAACAACAACAAAAGGTACTTTACTATATTTTTAATAATAATTTTGTTAAATAATGTTATCAGTTACTACTAAAAATTTAACAATTGTTGGAATAAAGTGTCATAAAAATTGTTTGTGCATGAAGACTACTTTGAAGGGAATCAGCGAAAAATGACTACAGCATGTGATTATTCAAATTTATATTCAATTATAATCACATCAAAGTAATCGAGTAGATAATACTAGTTTTATCTACTCAAATAATTACTCAAATATGCAGCAAATTGAAGCAATAATAAAAAATGCATTAGTAAAACGATGAAAAAATTCGAAAACTTGATAGTTGCATTTTACCCAAATAACTAAT